CCGCGTCCCGCCGGCAGCCCGGCGGCCGGCGCTCGGTCCGGGGCTCCCGCTACTGCAGGGAGCCCGAGCCCCAGGGAGTCTCGGGAGCCGACGGAGGGCTTGTTAGACCCTGACTTTTTTTCAGGCCGCGCAGATTTTGTCTCCCAGCACTCCCCGCTCCGCGGACCCTGGTCCGCGCGCTCTCGGCGCCCGCGATGGGGAGACGGCGGCGGCTGTGTCTCCAGCCCTACTTCGTGTGGCTGGGCTGCGTGGCGCTCTGGGCGCAGGGCACGGCTGGCCAGCCCCAGCCTCCACCGCCCAAGCCGCCCCGGCCCCAGCCGCCGCCGCAACAGGTCCGGCCCGCGGCGGCGGGCTCTGAAGGCGGGTTCGCTGTGCCCGAGTACCGTGAGGAGGGCGCCGCCGCGGCCAGCCGCGTCCGCAGGCGAGGACAGCAGGACGTGCTCCGAGGGTAGGTGGGCAGGAGGTCGGGGGGGGGGGACCTACGCTTGGCAGCTTTCCATCCCACCCCTCCCTGAAACTAGTTCTGGCGGCTAGACCCGGGGCTCCCTCCACCAGAAGCCAGAGGACTCCCAGGAGCGTCTCCCCCTTTTCCTCCGCAGCTCAGCCGGCAAAAAGCCCTCCCTCGGGGGGTTGGGTCGAAGGCCCCCGGGTGCGGATGGTAGAGCGCAGGCTCTGCCTGCGGTGCGGGAACAGGTTCCCAGTGTCGGGCGGAGGGCGGGCTTGAGTCCACTCCGCTTCGGGGCTGGTGGAGCCTGCCTGCTCCCCCCCCGTCGGGCGCGCAGCTCTTGAGCCTTTTGTTTGAGAACGATTGCGGGGCTTACGGTTCGCTCTGATCATCAAACTCCAGCGCTTCACCTTCCGACGCGCGTTCCTTGACACGTCGGGACCAGAGTGGATTAAGAAGGGACGGATTTGGGTACGAGGGCAGGGATTTTTGAAACAGAGTGTTCCCTTTGTTCTCTGCATCCGGAGGCTAGAGTAGTAGGAAATTATGTTTCCATGTTTCTTTTCGCCCTTTAAAAACGCAGTAAGGGAGGGCAGATGAAAAGTAAGGTTTAGACGTTTCCGACCCTCCCCCATTCCAGCCCATTTACTTCCATGTCTGTGCACCGGAGCCCCAAGAATTTGAAGTGCAGTTTTGGTTTGTTTGTTGTCCCGAAATCTTTTCGCTCAGGGTTTTTGGTTGGGAAAACCGCGACTGTGTTACCATACAACTTCCCTACGTGTGTGTGACCTCGCTTGTCCATCGCAGGCCCAACGTGTGCGGATCCAGGTTCCACTCCTACTGTTGCCCGGGATGGAAGACGCTTCCTGGAGGAAACCAATGCATTGTCCGTGAGTGCTTGATTGGGATCCCAGCTTGGGCAGCGCGCTTGACCCCATGTCAGGGCCGAGTTTTGGATTCAGTTGTCCCGGACACAGAGTTGCTTTTAGAATCCAATGGCCACAAAGCAGTGATAGTTAGGGACGTGGCCCCATTTGAGTGTTGGGGAAGAAGCAGCCGGTTTACATCAGTTTCGACTTCGCTTCTAGACTCTGTTGAAGGGCAATAATGATAAAGGTTTCAAAGATACTTGGAAGTTTTATCTTTCTGTGTCTATTAATACAAACTGAAGGGGGGAGTACAGCAATTCCCTAGATAACTCAAAACCACTTTTTCCTAAAGGAGTCCAGATAAGACCACAATGTGATTATGTAAATTATCTGGCTTTTGACTGCATGAGGTTTAGGCCTTTTGAAGATCAAGCTTTCTTAGGCCTTTGTACAAAACCACTTTATTATCTCTGGTTTCATCTCAACAGCCACATAACGTAGATAGGAAAGGAACTCCCATAGGGAGTTACAGTTGACCCAGGTCAACAAAATTTTTTAAAAGAACTCTTCCCAAATGGCTTGACCTTTATTTTTTTTTTTAAGATATTTAAATTTAGGATTTACAGGCCCCACATCCCATAGTGTACTGTAGATTTCCAAAGTGTGAGGCTTAGAGTTTCCAAAGTTCTGCATCTCTGACCTTCAAAGTTTTATTCTTTTATTTAGTTTCCAAATTGTGTACCTAGCTCTCCCAGGTTCTAACTGGAGAAGTCATTAGTTACTAGCCTCATAGTGATGGACCGTGGGATGTCTTATTTCACATGCCTGTGAATCCCGTGAGTTGAAGTGTGACCAGCCTTCTCCTGTGTATTTATCTAGCAGTCACATTTGTCTTGTCAGGAGGAGAGCCAGGTATCATAGACAGCACATTCATTTTGAGCCATTCTTGACTTTAGATTGACCTTCATATTCTCCAGGGAAAAGATAATTATGCAACTGTGAACAGAGAAAAAGGGCAAGCCACACTAGCCAAGGGATAATAAGGATGTAGTGGCATTTCCGACTCTATATTTATTGGTTTTGTGGGTTTGAGATAGACCCTTCATGTTATTTCGTTGCAGCTTTTAAAAAGGAATGAAGTCTCATGTGTTGTGAAGAGTGTTTCTTATAATTTTTTCTACCCTAAAATCCCACAATTTCCAGTAGGGAGGCAAAAATGGGAAAAAAATGTGTGAAGTGATTCATGAATATTTTAAATAAATCCTCTGATGATAAGCCTTTACTAAAAAGAAAGAAAGGGTATTGCATTCTTTTTTCCCCAACACAGAAATCATCGATTGTGAGGCATATATGGAAGGTGTATTTACTCTTTCAGGCCAGTAGGGCATTACTTTGCCTGCTTTAAATTTAACATGGTTCCTAGAATCCTGTAGCAGCTAATGTCACTCACCACACACCTGCCATACTAGCTGGGATGACTTAGGCACTGCGGAAAGTCTGACTCACTGAATGTAATGAATGGGACTGCCATTATTGAGTTGGAGAGCAGCCGAGAAGAAGGGATCAGTTTAGGGTATGTGTTGAAAATCTGTAAAGTCAGATTTTATTGGATCGGTGTGGAATGGGAATTCCAGAGAACAGAGCCTTCCAGAATATTTGAAGTAGAAATATATATGTACGTGTGTGTGTGTGTGTATATACATATATATATATCCCTCTAAGTGTCTGCTTTAAATACTTATAGTTTTTCTTTTTTAAAGATTTTATTTATTTATTTATTTGAGAGAGAGAGTGAGAGAGAGAAAGAGCACAAGAGGGGGGAGCGGGAGAGGGAGAAGCAGACTCCCTGCTGAGCAGGGAGCCCGATGCGGGACTCGATCCCGGGACTCCAGGATCATGACCTGAGCCGAAGGCAGTTGCTTAACCAACTGAGCCACCCAGGCGCCCCAATACTTATAGTTTTTCAGTAACATTGTGCTCTTTACTTGTTTAGAAGAACAGCTTTGGAAATCTCAGAGCAACGGTGACTATTGTAGCCTGCATTTCTACTACTTGAAATATTTGGGTACCTATGAAATACATTGGAAATTACATGCATCATAAATCTCTAAAAAGCATAAATTTTGAAGTTATCTTTGTATCTCCAAGAAATATATATATATATCACTTATATATATCAAGCACTTAGAGTTACCTACAAGAATGTTAGCATATTAAAAAAGTAATTCAAATACCCAAGAGTATAAAATAGAGGAAGAATGTAATGCTTTTTTATTCTCTTGTATGGATCGCACATAAATTTTGAATTTTAGTATTTTCTGTTAAATTTAGTAGTGCAATTATTTTTGACATTTAAAATGATAATATATGGAGGTAATAACCAAATTGAAAGCATTATTCAAGTCAAAATCAAGAATTTTCATTCTAGGATTTCCTGGTGATAATAAGTTATTTATTAGATTTATTGAATTTCCACCATTTAGCAAAAGGCAAAGCTCTGAGGCAACTTACAAAGAGAGAGAAGTAAAATACAAACCGAGGGGCGCCTGGGTGGCTCAGTTGGTTAAGCGACTGCCTTCGGCTCAGGTCATGATCCTGGAGTCCCAGGATCGAGTCCCGCATCGGGCTCCCTGCTCAGCGGGGAGTCTGCTTCTCCCTCTCCCGCTCCCCCTTCTTGTGCTCTCTCTCTCTCTCTCACTCTCTCTCTAAAATAAATAAATAAAAATTAAAAAAAAAATAAAATACAAACCGAATATGAGGACCAAAGATTAATTATTTCATTTATACATCAGCATTCTTTCTTGATAGAAGGATATTAAAAATGATTACCTTCTAGAATTTTAATCTGTTTGGTGTTGACCAGGCTTCATGAAGAGGTGAAGATAATAAAAGAAAAATGTTTTTCTCAAACTGCTGGAAACCTAATGCATTTTGATTTGAGTTTCTGTGTTTGTTGTTAGTGTTCTTAGCTGTGGCCTGCAAAGATCATTGAAGTACTTCTGAACTTGCAAATATTTGTTTCCAGAAAAAATGGAATTGACTTTCTCACTTTTCATTTGTTTCTTCCTAATCTTATTAGAACTTGAAGCAGTGGGAAAGTTTATTAATTTATTTGTGAAATTTTGCTATGAAATGCATTTTGGTCAGTGGAATGGGAAAGGGTTGGCCTGAATTCAGAGCATTTGAACCTAAAAAGACCTCAGATTACTCCCACGATAATCCTTTTGTTTTATTTCACCAAGAAGAAAACAAAACCCAGAGAAGCTGTGTGGTCTTTTTGTAAGTTTGTAATGGGGCCATGGCACAGCAGGAACTGAGCATCAGACTTTTCTTGTCCTATGTACCCTTCACTGTGCTGTGCATCTACTCCCAGCATCAGAGAAGCCCTAACACCCATGTCTTCCTTCCCTCTCCTTGGTTATTTCTCGGTCTCATGGTTTCCATGATGGTAGGGCGGACAAGTAGTTAGGTGAGGCATCTCATAGTTGGAGATGAGTGTGAGGAGAAAGGGCCCGCACACTCTCGCTTCTCACGGGCTCACAGGCATATAGCTCACACCTGTGCTCATGACTGGGATCTGTTGTCTGAGGATGACCAGTCTCCAGCCATGAGTCCTTCCTTGGGTTTAGCACCTGGGTAGGGGTACCTTGTAGATCACCTGAGCCTCGACTAAATGGCAGCCTGCTGCGGGTGAGGGAGCTTTGAAATAAAACAGTATTTTAGTGGACATGTGTCACTGGAACATTATTCGTGATCTGAAACTGTAGCACGTTTTAAAAATTAGTAGTCAACTCCATGGCAGGAACCATGTTCTTACCTAAAACTAGTTTTCTATTTTCACACTAGGATCTATGACATTTTTATTTATAAGGAGTGCTAATGGAGATGCTGGTCATATTACATGGATGTCAGATGGCAGTTTGGGGAAGAAAAACAATGACTGAGTTAGCTCACTTCTGTGTGTTGTTTTGTTTTTTGTTTTTTTAAGATTTAATTTATCTGAGAGAGTGAGCGAGTGAGAGAGAGAATGAGCAGAGGGAGGACCAGAGGGAGAGCGAGAAGCAGACTCCCTGCTGAGCAGGGAGCCAGATGCAGGACTCCGGGATCATGACCTAAGCTGAAGGCAGATGCTTAGCCTACTGAGCCACTCAGGCACCCTGAGTTAGCTTACTTCTGTACGGCATGCCCTTTACATTATTGGGGGTCTCCGATCTCTTTGAAAATTGTGAGACCCCTGTCTAGCAAAAGACACGTGCACATTTACATGATGTTCATAGCTAGTTTGAGAATGTTCCCAGACCCTCCTCTTGTCCTCATGGATCCAGGCATGGAGCATTAAAGCACATAGGCGTTGTGCACAAATAAGGAATTCAGTTGTGGGTATAGAGATGAATCTCTCAGCTCTTAAATGAACTGACTCTAAATATGGGAGAGACTTCCCATTTGAAGGCACTCTGCTAATGATTTTGAGGATCCGTGGTATGTGCTGTGTCAGTGAGCCTAACATTCTTTGCTGTGATGACCCTCATACCTTGGAGGTCACAGCTACAGGAGGCTTTGAGTCTCCTTCCATCAAAATGTCGCAGCAGCTTTTCTGACCAGCAGGAATAGGCTAGGTTGTGGTGATAGCATGGGAGAAGAAAGGCTGGAGGAAGGAGAGAGGGATTTATTAAGGAAAACAAAGATTGATGATGGGGCAGGTCAGATACCAGCTGGGAAGGAATGTGCATGGAACCCCTGGGGCTTGGCCAACTGGTTAGGGCTTGGAGTCTCTGGCTCAGCCCATTTTATATTTTCTGTGTCTTGTGAAGGCCTTTTCCACAGTGGGCTATGTTTTCTGAGGGTATGCAGGACCTCTGGGTTTCCTCAATCCTTCCAGCTTCCTATGACCCAGGCTGTCATCTTGTGGTAAATTCTGTGTATAAACACTCTACCTTGAATGGAAAACATGACCTGTATTGATAGGAGAGTTAAAGGATTATGGAACTTGAAGTAGTTTCATTTGTTTGCACATTATCATAAGGATATTTGTGAGACTTAGTCTCATGTCTACAATGGGTAATTTCGCTGCATATCTGAAATCAGACAGTACTTATCCTGTATTTTTTGTCTTAGTTTTTCAGGTTTATTGTTGTTGACTGTAGCTTTCTTGTTTTGTAAACTGTGGTTTATTACCTAATTATTCCTTCACTTTCCTATTGTGCTTCCTACAGCAATTTGTAGAAATAGTTGTGGAGATGGATTTTGTTCGCGTCCTAACATGTGTACTTGTTCCAGTGGCCAAATATCACCAACCTGTGGATCAAAATCAAGTATGTTTCTTAGAGGTGACCTTACTTACTGCATTGTTCTGAAGCTTGTGAATAAATACCAAATGTCCTTTTCAACAAGGATATGCATCGATGATTATTTTCCTATCATTAACTAGATCTGCATTAATTTTTGGAGTAAAAATCTTCAGTGACTTAATTGTTGCCACCAACAACTAAAGGGGAGTGATTTTTTATTAAGCAGAATGGTTTAATTCTGGTCCAGAAGCTATGTCTCTCTGCAGTAAAAGTGCCCGGATTCAGTGGAAAAGAAATTCTTTGTGAATAAGAACTGTAACTTACTGGGTTTTTATTCTGTGCCAGATACTGTTTTATGTTTTTGACTATAGCATTTTATTTTATCTTCACATGAAAACTATGAGGTACTATTTTTATCCCATTTTATAGAGAAAGGAGTTTTGCACGTGTGAATTTAGTAACTTGCCCAGGGTAACATAGATTTAAATCCATGTATTCTGATGCCTAAACCTATAGGCTCCAACCCTAGGCTCTATTTATTGCCTTTGCATAATCCTGTAGTCCATGTCCTGTTTTGTGGGTGAACTAAAGGAGAAAGATAAGAGGATTGGGTTGACAATGAATATTATATACTGACCAGATGCTTAACATATATTAACTTACTTTGCTTTACATGTATTAACTCTCAGCGGTCCTATAAGATCACAATGGTGGACTAGAATTGTGTTATTCATGACCCAATTCAGGATTGTCAGGTCTTCAAGATTAATCTTTTAGGCCAGTGTTTAAGATAATATTATAACAAGGTGGAAGCAGATACTGTTTATTTAATTGTTCAGTAATTAAATAAAATTTTAAATCTGCCTCAAGCCAGAGTGACGTTGTTTTATTTTTAACATTTATGTCTCCAAATTTTCTCTCAGAAGAGGTAGTAGAGAATGTGTCTTACTCAGAAATGGAAGATTCAAGACTTAAATGACCAGTGTCATTGCCTTCTGATGAAACTTCTGTGTAAAAACTTCTAGTTTCATTTTCTCTGAAAATAATGGTGTCATTTTCTCAGTGTTTTAAAGTTCTCCTTCACAATTCATCCAGGCTTTCTTGACCACCCCGATTAGCAGATTTCCTCCAGTGCTTTTAGGAACCTTTCTGGTTTGACTGCCTGGAAGATATTCTTTTTTTTTTTTTTTAAATTTTATTTATTTATTTGAGAGAGAATGAGAGAGAGCACATGAGAGGGGGGAGGGTCAGAGGGAGAAGCAGACTCCCCGCCGAGCAGGGAGCCCGATACGGGACTCGATCCAGGGACTCCAGGATCATGACCTGAGCTGAAGGCAGTCGCTTAACCAACTGAGCCACCCAGGCGCCCTGCCTGGAAGATATTCCTACCCATATTTTCATTAATCCATTGTCTTAGTTTACTCATATGTGCCTTCGGGAAAAAAAAATCCTGGAGAAATTTTACAGTTCAACTTCTTAATCCTCCTCCTGAGCAGCTAAATATTCACTGGCCTAACCCTCAGTTTATGGTATATAATTTCATAGGGAATCCCTGAATTGCCATGGCCTTGGGTAGTACTCCCTTTTCATCAGGAATGTTTCTCTTTTCCAGTCCTTATCCTGTTCCACTCCCCCAAGGCATTTAGCACCATTATTTGCCCTCTTTATGAAATACTCTTTTCCCTCCACTTGTGCAGTATCCGTGGGCACAGCGTTCCTTTTCTTGATTATTATTTTTTAGTTTCCTGTCTGTATCTTCTTCATTAGACTTCAACTCAGGGTTTGGGGTTCTCAACAGTCTGGCCTCCCTGGGTGAACTCATTTGCATATATGCTTCAACTACTACCAATACGTTGCTAACTCATAGTAATTGTCTCCAGAATAGATCCCTCCATTGAGCCTCCTATTCACAGGTTCCATTTCCTAGTCTACATCTCCACTGGAATGCACATAGTACACGTCTGAAACTTGATAGCAGGGAATTTGATTCGTTGTTGCCCACAGTCTACTTCTTCCGGTTTCTCTTGCTTCAGCAAATGCCACTGCCCTCTACCCAGTGTCTAAGCAACTGTTTCTCTTTCTCTTTACTTTCTTCCTCCTTCTCTCATGTCAACTCTTTTAACAAGACCTGTGGGTTCTGTTGGAAAACATATCTCAAATGCATCTTCTCCTTTCCATCACCACTGATACCCTGTGGTTCAGCTCCCCTCATCTCTTACCTGGAGTGTTGTAGTAACTCCCAATGGCTTCTCTGGCTTACACTCTTGCCCTCTTCAGATCTGTTCTCTGCAAAGAAGCTACAGGCATCCTTTAAAAATACAAATTGCATCACTTGACTCTCTTAAACCCTTTCAATAACTTCTTTTGCATTTGGGATATAATGCCAACCCTTCCATGGCCTGGGAGACCCTGCATTATCTGGCTGGCCTCTTGATGCGTCTCTAAGATCTTTTCTTCCCAGCCTGACTCTTTATAATCATGTGACTCTTTCAGTTCTTCAAATAGAGGAAACTCTCCACCATCTGAGGGTCTTTTTCAATTTGGTGGTTCCTCTCCCTGTGAGGTTCCTCTCAGGTACTTCTCACGCCTGGCTCATCCTCTTCCTTCAGAACTCTTCCTAAGTGTCACATCAGAATGGTCTTGTCTCCCTCCTGTCTAGGTTCCTCCTTGGTTCCAGGCTATTCTCCTTTACAACACAGTTTCCTCTGGAGAACTTGTCACAATCTCTAATGGCCTTGTAGTGTTTGTTTATTTGTGTTTGTCTGTCTCTCTATGGGAATGTTAGCTCCATGAAGGTGGATACTAAGTCTTCCGTTATAGCAGGGTGCTGAGCCCATAGGGCGGGCAGACACTCAGCCCCTGCATCCTGAATGGATACACAAGTGCCTCCCACCTCCTAGAAACTATGCTACCAGTCGCCACATACTGATTTCTTTGAACACTGAAAGTGTAATCTATTTTAAATGCCTACAGAATAACATTGTAACAGACACGTGCATGTGTGCACTTACACAAATAAGTATATATGTGGGTCATAACATTTCTGTCGAATATATTTGTCATTGAATTGGAGATTTAGTATAGTCTAATAACTCACAGATCCTAAAATTTCAGTGATTAATAGTTTTATATTTTGTTGCTGTTGTTCATTGCAGTTCAGCAGTGCAACGTTAGGTGCATGAATGGAGGAACCTGTGCGGATGACCATTGCCAGTGTCAGAAGGGATATATCGGAACTTACTGTGGACAACGTAAGGAACATTGGAATGGACTTCATTTATTAGAAATTATTTGATTTACTGGTTTTTCATACTAACTCAAAACTGAAGGACCTGTAAAGCCTATGATCATTAAAAAAAATAACTTGATGTAGTAAGCCATACCTTACAGCTAAATTTCTAATTTTTATCATAGGAGATTTTTTTTCTCTTTTAGGATTTTTGTATTTTAGAGTGTTGATGTTGAATCCCACTAGTACTTCCTCAGATTTGACCCATATCACAAGTTAATATTTACTCACTTTTTTTTAAAAAATCTTGCTCCATGAAACATGAATACCTTCCTGAAGACATGGTAAAGATTGTTGTGATTTCACTCTCTTTAGGATATCCCAAATTAACCCAAGGAGAGCAAATCTTTTAAATTGTCTTTTGCTCATATATATTTAATTATGTAATGAAACAGTGCAGCGCTCTGAAATGATTTTTAAAACATCATATTTCATTGTGAAAGAGGGAGCTTTAACCAGTTAATAAGGTCTCCTCTTCACTTACTAGAGAATATTCTGTGCTAATTAAGAAACAACTTTTTAACAAGGATGTGGGGATGATCACTCTTGGATTATGACATATCACTGGAGAACACTGGAGGTTTGGGTTTCCCAAATTGTGGGACTCTTTCAAGAATTGCCATATTTTTAAGTGTGGATGAGTAGAAGGACATGACATTAAAGACCGTTGAATCATAAATAGTAACAAAGTGCCTTCTCATTTCATTTGGATTTCAGGGTCTAGATTCACTGCTAATCTTCAGGGTCCCCCTAAGAACTTGTCAACCTTTTTAACATACAAAGACCAAGTAGTAGGTGTGCAAGAACATCTACCTTGTTTAAAGCTAATCTTATTTTTGTTGGAATTTTAAAAACTGAAAAAAAAATGGTTTTCAGTATGCATAAAGCATAAAATTAACTATTTTAACCATTTTTACATGTCCAGTTACGTGGCATTAAGTATATTCACATTGTTGTGTAATCATCACTGCCATCCATCTCCAGAACTTTTTTGAGTTGCAAAACTGAAACTCTGCCCGGTAAACACTGACTCCCCATTTCTCCCTCACCCAGCTCCTGGCAACCACCATTCTACTTTCTCTCTCTATGAATATGACTGCTCTAGCCACCTCAGACAAGTGGAATCATACAGCATATGTCCTTTTGTGATGAGTTTATTTTTACTTAGCATAATGTGTTCATGGCTCATCCATGTTAGAGCATATTTTAGAATTTCCTTCCTTTTTAAAGCTGCATAATATTCCATTTTGTGTACATACCATAATTTGTTTTTATCTGTTTACATGAATGGACACTTGAGGTGCTGTCATCTTTTTTTTTTTATTAAAGATTTTATTTATTTATTTGACAAGAGAGAGAGAGAGCACAAGCATGCATGGAGGGAGAGGGAGAGGGAGAAGCAGACTCCCCACTGAGCAGGGAGCCGGACGTGGGGCTCGATCCCGGGACTCCAGGATCATGACCTGAGCCGAAGGCAGACGCTTAACCCACTGAGCCACCCAGGCGCCCCGAGGTGCTGCCACCTTTTGGCTTTTGTGAATATGGATGCACAGCCATCCATTTGGGTCCCTGCTTTCAGTTCTTTTGAGTACCATACCCAGAAGTAGAATTGCTAGATCATGTGCTAATTCTGTTTTTAATTTTAAGAGCTGCCTTACTGTTTTCCTCAGTGGCCACCCCATTTTACATTCCTAGCAGCAGTGTACAGGGGTTCTAAGTTCTCCACATTCTCACCAACGCTTACTTCCGTTTTGTTTGTTGGTTTTTGTGTGTGTGTGAGTGAGATAGCCATCCTAATGGATGTGAGGTGGTATCTTCTTGTGGTGGTTGTTCTTAGTAAGATTGCCTTCAGGTATTAGGGTAATACAGCTTTCCCTTTATAAATGCTATGGAGTTTTCTTTTAAAATAATTGAAAATAAGTAGGTGAATCAATTTAAAGAAAAATACTTTGTTCAGGTTAGGAGTCAGCCACCTTTTTCTGTAAAGGCCAGATAATATTTTAGACTTAGTGGTTTCTGTCACGACCACTTGGCTCTTCTGTTACAGTGCAAAAGTGACCATAAACCATATGTAAATGAAAGAACTTGGCTGGGTTTCAGCAGGACTTTATTTTTGGGCACTGCAATTTGAACTTTATACCATTGCCATTTGTCACAAAAATATGATTCTTCTCTTGATTTTCCAACCATAGAAAAATGTGAAAACTGTTCCTAACTCATGGACAATACAAAAACGGGTGGTGGGCCAGATCTGACCTGTGGACCGTAGTTTACAGACCCCTGTGTAGGCAGCTTTCAGGTATGGCTATAGCTGTTAAGATAATCTGAGACTGACAAGTGTGGGAAGTGGAGTGTTAAGGAATTTGAGAGAATACACCGCACTGAGGCCAGTTTTCTTGCAGGAATAGGAGATGCCAGTGTAGGGTGTTGGGCTAGGGTTGGCCAGGCAAGAGCAGCAAAGAGCTGAACAACAGTGTAACAGATATCGTAGCAAACTTTCTTTTTTCATGGATGATTTCTTTTCTACGTTTTCTTCAAATATTTAGGTATTTTCCTAATTTTATACAATGGACTCCAGTTTATAACCACTAAAAAACAAAAACAAAAAACAAAAAAAACAAAAAAACCTGTGAACACAATATTTATAAGGAAGCAGATTTATACCTTTTTAATACCTAAACAGACTGATTGTATTCCTCTTCTGTAGAGTTCAGTAGCAATCGAAGAAACACAGTCCTTCCTGAAACTCAACCTTTTGTTGTGTAGGGAGAGAAAATCATAATTACTTTAGAATTACAGGAGGAAGAGCCTTGCCTCAACTTATCTTTCAGAGTATTTGCTCAAATCTATCATGAAACCAGCCACTGTCAGCCTGAATTCAGCTGCTGTATCTGTCTGGGGCATATCTGTGTGTATATGTATTTTCCTGAAGATTCTGCAGAAGGAGTTCCAGCTGCTGTGTCCCTTCCCTGCTCTTTGCACAGAAATGAAAGTAAAGGTGCTTTTATGTTCTTCTGCCCTGTGCCAAACCATACCAATGCGCGCCCCCCGCCCCTGCCACTTTTCAGTCAGGGGAAAGGAAAAAGCACTGGGTCAGAAGAGCAGCATATATGAAAATTTGTTTGCTATCTCATGAGACAAAACTATAATTGCCCAACATTTACTCAGGGTTAATAGAACATATGGTGAGCAAACAAGATGACCTAAAAGCTCCCATTTTAGGTCCGTGGGAAAAGTGTTCTAGGCAGAGGGAAAAGCAGATTCATAGGACCTGTGGTGGGAACAGATTTCACATGTTTTGTAGATAGTAAGAAACCCATGTGCCTAAAGAGATGAAAGGAGGTAATTGTGGGAGGTGAATTCAGAGATGGTGGTGGACGGCCTTACCCACCAAGGAAAGAAATCAGGACTCTAAATATTATGGGGAGCCACTGAGGTAGTTTGAACAGTGGAGTGACATGATCTGATTAACTTAAAAAAACTAATCACTCTGGCTGCTACTGGATTGTAGAAAGGGTGAGACAGAACATGAAAGGCGAGTTAACAGCTTTTTGGTGCTGGTGCATGGTGCTGGCGTAATTGAGCATGTGGGAAGTGCTAGTCTTGGACTTGTATTCAGAGGTAGAATCTATGGAAGGAAGTGTGTGCTGATGGAGTGGGTGCGCTGCGGGGGTAAAAAACAGACACAAAGATCCATGATGACAACTGGAGGATTTGGATGGAGCTCCAGAGTGAATGGTCATGTCATTTCCTGAAATGGGAAGACTGAGCAGGGCGTGGATTAGGTGGAGCTGCAAACACGGGATGGGAAGAGTTTTGTTTTGGACTTGGTAGTTTAAAAAATCTGTTAGACCTCCAATTGGAAAGATATATGAGCTAAGATCTTCGGAGAGAGCTGAGGGAGATACGAACTTGGGAGCATGTAGACTGAATTTTTATATAGATAATAGGTTAATTATAGGCCTGGGTGAAGATCACTGGGAAGTTGGTGTGGAGAGTACATAGCATGGTTTTTTCTCGATTGCCTTTTGCTTTATCCCACACCAGGTGTAAGCATTTCTTTCCTCCTGGTGGTCAGCCTTCTTTCCATGGTAGAAATTTAGGCATATTCACATTTCTTTCCAACTCCAGCTGAAATGTAAATTTCCATTTCTGTTATGTTTTGTTACAAGAAAAACTACTTCATAAAATAACTTTCATCATAACTCATTCTTAAGAAGGAAAATTACCTTTTATTTTTTTATTCTACTTTTATACGCATTGTCCACTTCTTTTGCTGTTTTTGTTCTGCATTGTAAACTTTGGACGATGGAGAAGAAGTCTTATTTTCATACAAATACTCTGTAGAATAAAAGAGAAGGAGAATTAAAGTTTGTAGAACACTTTCAATGTGCAGCCACTGTGCACTTTGTTTTATACATCATTTTATTTAATCCTCAAGCCCCTCTCAGGAAGGATCTATTAACTCGATTTTCAGCATGGGTCTCGTGAGAGAACATGTCCGGGAAAGTGATTTCCATTTATTTTTCTTACAGCTTGATGATATTGAAAGTAAATTTCTCGCATCATAATTAATTACATTAGATAAGGGCTACCTCTTTGCAGTATGTGTTTTTAGCATTTGCAGTGTTCAAGTGCCGGCCATTGTTTCTGTGGAGTTCCACACCACTGAGACTTCTCTGACAGGTTTTTGTTTTCTTCCACATTCCTGTCCACCCCCATCTTTCTCACGCTTCTCATAACCTTTATTTCCTTTCCTTTATCCTCTGTATTTGTTCATCCAGTTTATTGCCCGGCCCATATTGCAGGACAGGGATGAGTTGCACATGCTGTGTAAGCACAAATGAAGAAGCAGAAAGGTGTGGTTCTTCCAGAGATGCACTTGTGCAGATGTACGGAGAATCCTTCCCACTTTTGAGCGAAGCCTGATACAGACAAAGAATTTTAAAGCCCCTGGCACAGTGGTGCTTTAAGATAAAGAAGTCTTTTGTTTCAAAGCATGTTTTCGTTTTGTACTGTTAGCAGAACAGAAGCCACTTGGAAGCATTCTGGATGAAAATAGGTAATCCAGCTCAGTATTCGTGGTAAGGAGATAGTAACACTGTTGCATTTTTAGATACCAGTTTATATATTGAGCTTCCCTTTTTCCATATGTACCTCATTTGAAGTGCACACAGATGTGCTTTGCCCCCTCACTTGGCTTTACTGTTTTAAGCTCTGTTTTGTGGGCACAAGTCATAGAATATAATCCTCTTCATCTGTGAGGACAGTGTTTATGTTCAACAAGGTGGGTGGGTTGATAGACAAGCTCTTAGTACCAGTATTTTCTCTTGGAGTAGGCATGATTCTTGGATTCAGCTGCCATCAGGAGAATAGTGATTTTTCAGGGAATATCCAGAATGGTCTTTAGGGAGTGGTCTTCTCTTTGTGGTTCTGGCTGCTGAGGGTGGTGCAGTGGGGGAGGGGAGCCGCTCAGGCTCAGTTCTGGCTCCCTGGCTCCCTGGGCCCACGGAGCCTGAACTGAATCCTGGTCTCCCTGGTGACAAGTGGAAAGGAGTGAAAGAGTGTATGCTGCCTGTGTTTGCCTTAAAAATTTTGATTTGGGGTTAATTTTTTAATAAAAATATTTCTTGTATTGACACAGTGAGGTTTTTTTCCTTCTTTCCTTTTATATCCTGTACATACTATGTACACATTAGTTATCTCTCTTGGTGTTTCTTTGCTGAATTGATGGTATTCCCCCTAGCCCCCACTGTTCCTGTTAGTTTTTTTCCTTTTCTTATTTACCCACCCCAGTCTTTTTTCTTCAGGGCGGGGGGTGCTTTTTTCTTCTCTTTGTTGCCATATCCTCTTTATTTTTCCATATCACATCCCTCCCTCTTTTCCTGTCTCTCGGCTACCTACTGTCTGCCGCCTTTTTCCTACATTTCCCCATATTTAATTTCTTACCTGCGAAGATTGATCATGGGGGTAATAGAACTAAAATAACGAATTGGATAGTTATATTCTGACAGTATGAGCATTTGAGCCAGCCAATCCTTGTGATTTTGTTTAAAAGAAAAAAAAATTTACCAGATGTGTACGTAACAATGTGATTTACATGATTTGTGTAGGCTTTTGTCTCAATATACATTATGTATATTTATTTAAATGCCTTCTGTAAGCTGTAGATTGTGTTTGAGAAGGAAGATCCATTATGGGCTGCATTTCCACACTATACTGTACAGATGACCTTTGAGCAACACAGGGCCTAGGGGTGCCAGCCCTCCACGCAGTTGAATATCTGTGTATAACTTTTGAATCCCCAGAAACCTAGCTACTAATAGTTTGTTTGGAAGCCTTACTGATAATATAAACTGTGGATTAATAGATTTTTTAAAAATGTTATATGTATCATATACTGTATTCTTAAAGTAAGCTAGAGAAAAGAAAATGTGATTAAGGAGCCTAAGAAAGAGAAAATACACTTACAGCACTGTACTGTGTTTATCGGAAAGAATCTGCTTATGAGTGGACCAGCATAGTTCAAACCTGGTGATGTTCAGCGGTCACCTGTACTTGGAGATGGACTATATAATGAGCTTCTTGTTGTGTTTGTGTGCAGCTGTCTGTGAAAATGGGTGTCAGAATGGTGGACGCTGTATCGGACCTAACCGCTGTGCTTGTGTTTATGGATTCACTGGTCCACAGTGCGAAAGAGGTAAGAAAAGAGAAATGAGAACCTCCCTTTGGAGAAGTCTCTTTTGTTCTAAAAACATATAATTTTTGGTTATCCAAAGAAAATTCTTCTAATGAAATTATATTTTTATTCGTCTTTGATGATGTCTATAACTCGAACGGTAAGATTACGAGACCTAACTAACAACAGCTGAAGAGTGTCAGTTTTCTCCACCAGAGTGATCCCATTTCAGGAGACCCGTGGAAGTTTTGTTGGGCAGGAGAAAAGGAGTGGATGCTCAGCAGGCGTCCAGCATTGTCTACTTTACCCATGTAAATGGTCAGTCAAGCCAATATAAAACCAATTGACCATGATATGAGTAGCACTTAAACTCATGATCGGTAGACTGCTGGAAATCTCCAGTGTCGGTATGCTAAATAGACTATTAATGGTGTCCTGGAAGCAAATGGTGGCCAGTGGCATATCAAAGATGGTTAATCTTAAAAAATGTGATAACTATTTAACACTGAACCGTATGAGTAAAAATAAGGTGAAACTGAAAGCAATATTACATAATCACTCATGATGACATACATCCTCAATTTATTTTCCCAGGGCTTGGCATAGCATCTAAACTTGTACAGCGCTTTCTTTGTTGCAAAACGTTAGAGTGTATGAAGCTATTATGTTACAATATTACAGATAAGTAGTGGTGATGGTTTATATATGTAAAGACGTTTTAAATTGCAAAGAAACCTTGTATCTAAAAAATTATACTCATTACCCTGACAAGAACTTCATCCTAATATTTGGGTTAAATCCTGAGAAGAAGCAGAGAAATCAGAATTCTACTTAAAGTTGAAAAGTAAGATGTATGAAGCCTTTTAACATACACTGGTATGTATATATACCTCGTGATATTTAAATTATTCCTAAGGTAACTGAGATTTCTTGGGACTGCAATACATTCCACAAATGACAGAGTTTATGGTTATACTTAGGGCAAATTTAAATGTCTTTACCAGATGCTTTTATTTTCGACAGAAAAATTAATTGTGAAATGTTAGCATAAAAAGGTAAGTTGTTGAGAATGGAATAACACAAATTTCCTACATAATGTTAAGTTTATTTAAATACTACAGAATGAAAAATATTTCAATTTAAAATTTCAAACATCATTATAATTGGTGGAGATGATGTTCATTTTTCTGGAAGTCACGTAACCTTTGTAGTTCTCTCGTCCTGAAGCAGATTTCAAGGTCAATTCCTAATTGGCAAAGGAATTGGGCAGTTTCAAGTCAGAGGCTTCCAGGCATTACATCAGCATTCTTCAACAGTTATCCATTCATTAGATTTGTTAGTCCTTACTACATTTATGGGAATCCAATGAAGACGTACATATATCTTACATGTACAGTAGCATGTTTTCAGATGAAATTACAAAATTAATTAGTTAATGAATTGGCCTGAAGAATATTTTTTAAAACATGGGTTTGCTTCTTAAAAATCTTTTCAATTATTACCCTTCAGATGAAAGTTCTAAAACTTTTTTTCTTCCAAACAAAGTTAATAATTCTCACTCTGTATTGCAAATACAAACTTACACGCTTTTAGGAGATATTTTCAGTTGAATATTTTAGTGTGTAATAGCTAATCCCTGTAAAAGTAGAGTTCATAGTTTTTCTTAAGAAACATTGTTTATACAGATACACAAGGAATAGTTCATTTACGTTGAGCTTAGTGAATAGGCTCACATGCCCTGTTAATATTTAAAGTTCGTATTGTGTTTTTCAATTATGGAGTTTCAAAAATATATGTTCTTTGTTCTCTTAAAAAAAAAAGACTTTTGTAAAATGAGGGATGTTTTTCCTCCTTGATGTAGGACACATATAATTTTCCTTTAAATTGGCCTCTGGGGATCAGTTGTATGATAAAACAAGGCTGCTTTTCCAGCTATCTAGGCTTCTGGCAGACTGGTTTCCGGACTGGAGACAGAGGCTGAGTGGTAACTGAGTGGCTGGCATGATTATGGTATTTAACTTGAGTCTTGGTGCTGGGTAAGCTGAACCTCTTTGGAGTTCTCTTCTCACTCATGCTGATATGTAAATGACCTTTTATACTTAGCATTAAAGAAAGAGTTATTAGGGCCACTGCGGATTGTAGAAGGCAGACAACGCAGCTGTGTCCAAGGCACACGTAGAGACTCAGCTCTTTTGGCTTCTCTTTCAGAATACGTGGCATTTGAAAAAAAAGATAAATATTGCACTTAATATATACCTGACAATACAGAGAAATGGAATTAACATCATATATCAAGACCTGGTGCTTTTTTTCCCCAAACACTTAAAATGTACCTTATTATTTATCAGTAGAAATTTGGAGGGGATGGGGTGGGCACCTTGAATTTTCCTTAAGGCTTATATAAGGATCATCTGTTAGAAATGTACCCTAGACTCTTTTAAATTATCCATAAATTATTATTACATGCTTTTTATCATGTAAACATGATTTTCTTTTAAAAATGCATAAATTTGGTGAATTTCAAAGATCTTTGTATTTGGTGACATTTCATTTAAAATGTACATTTTTCCGTAAATGGTACCTTAAAAAGGAAGATGGGAGATTAACTTTTTAATCTACTGACATTTTAAAAAAAATTTTTTTATTATGTTAGTCACCATTAGTTTTTTTAATTTTATTATGTTATGTTAATCACCATACATTACATCATTAGTTTTTGATGTAGTGTTCCATGATTCATTGTTGCGTTAATCTATTGACCTTTTTAAGAAAAATTCCATTTGTGAATCTGAAGCTACTTTAAAAAAGGTGAGATCAAATATTAAAGTCTATGAAATATAAACTTTCAAGCCTTTGTGTAAAATGAAACATGGATGGATTTCTCTTCAGGACAAATTTCATAAAATCATCCAGTTGTAGAACCTCATGCATGATCTCACTGTCTAAAAGCCTTTTGGAGGAGTCACTCAGCCTCTGCTTGAATATCTCCAGTCACAGGGTTCTCACCCACTTACCCCATTGTGAAGCAGGGTTTCATGGTCAGAATCCTGGTTGTTCAAATGCTGTATTATTATGGTTCTGCCTAAGCTAGGCATCTAGCAGATGGATAGCCCATTCTTCATTGTCCAGATGATGGTGACTTCTCTAAAAGGAGGCACCCATAATCTTACCCCTCAGGTTTGCATATTGGCAACTTGAAGTGTAATTATAAGCTCTTGAGTTATTCTGTATATTTTTGTTCATCCACCCAAATACTTCCTATTTCAGGAAGTAAAGTAACTGGGACAGCTATTCAGCCTACTCAGACCATATCTAGATTCTCCAAAAACAAGAATGGAGGCAGGCAAACTTAGGGTTTTCCTAAATTCTGAGAATTAGGTAGACCAGGCCTAAGTGTGTTCAGAAATAATTGATGCATGTATTAATTAACTAATTCCATGGTCTTGGAATTTATTATAAAGTACACATGATGAGTTTGTTTAGCCTATGAAGTAACAGCAAATTAGTGTGACCAGGAATACAGGGGAGCATGGGGAGAGAATATGCTGGTATATTATGCAGGATTCTATACACAATGGATTTGATGCTTCCAAGAAATGTATAAGCAGTACGTTTCAGAAAAAATTCCTTCCATTGTAATATTCTTATCTTAAAAAAACACCTTTATTATAAAATAGTTTCAAAAATATGATAAACAAAAATATGCAATTATTCATAATTCTTCCAGTCAGAATTAATTACTTTATAAAATTTTGGGGGATATGCTTTGAATCCTTTATTCTACTACACAAATATTGCTTTTGAAGATTGGGATTTTCCATTCTTACTGGAATCCACCCTTCTGTAACATGAAATCTGCTTGTATCATAGTTATTATTGTATATTAGTTAATATTTAAGGTCATTTCCAGGTTTTCTTTTTGTTTTATTGGCTTACTTGTATTTTAGCAATGCCGTGATAAGAATCTGTGTAGATAAACCTATAACCTTGACTTTATTCTTAGAAATGCATAGAAATGCAACTGCTCAGTTGTTGAGTATGTGAAAATTTAAAGCTTTTGATATATCCTGTTTATTTCCTTCTAAAAAGGCTTTTTATGATTTAATCCTTTGGTATTATATGTAGAAAGTCTTTCTGCCTTCCCAAATCTTAAAAATATCTATAGTTTTCCCCCTAGTGCCATGAGATTTTATTTCTTTTTGCTTTTTAAACCGTAAGTTAGAATATATAAGAGGGTAATTTTTATTTTTAGATGAGGTCAATTTATTTATGAATATTAATTTTCATGTATCTTTTGAGTGCTTATTAAGTGTTAGGCTAGGTGGTTGGAGCTCGTGCTCCAAAGACAAACAATATAAACTCTGTTAATGAGAAGCAAACTAAAGAACAGCAGTGGTCATCTACTTAAACATTAAAAAGAATATAATATGTGTTAAATAATATAATAGGAGTAGGGACAACTTTATGTGAGAGCTCAGGAATGCTTCCTGGTTAAGGGAGAATTAGAAATGTCTTCCCGCAGTTAATCTGAATGAAAAAAAATATAACTCATTATAATGAGAAAGAGCAGTTTGGGACTAATTCCTGTATTGATATTACAAGGTACATCATGATTGACTTTTATGCTAAATTAAACTCCATAGTTAAGTACCATAGTTAAGTACCAGAGCTGAACTTGTTTTATAGAAATAAAATGTCTGCCTTTCTCTTGCACCTTGAAGATTTAGTGAGAAAGAAATTAGAAGGAACAGAGAGAGAATATTACCAACCACAGATGTCAAACTCACGTGCGCCCACATGCACGCACACGCACACACATATTTCTGCACTCGTGAGACTGTTAAGAACATTTTATAACCTCGCACTCTCTAAGCTAAACTTAGCCTTAAATGGGCATCAGAGAAATACCAAAAGATCTGTGGGAACTTTACTTTTTGGCACTAGCTCAGATGACATCCTTATCTTGAATGCCATTAAGAACACAAGGGAAGGAAAACGAGAGCAAAAAAGCAGACAGTGGG